GAATAAAGAGTGGGAAGGGTAGTCAGGAAAACTAGAAAGGATATGAAGCTGTAGAGGACCATGATCACCCACGTCCTTGTGGGACACGGCACATAAAAGAAGATCTCATATATATCTACACAGTTTAGTATATTGCGACAAACATAGCCGAACAATAACATACAAGAAAACCGTGTTACATGTGTCTTCCAAATGGATGAAGCAATGTTTGTTATCGTTTCACCTCATACAGGTTGACAGTACCACTAAAATTCAAGGGGTTACTGAGAGTGAAAGAAAATGTAAAGACGTTAGTGAGGAGAAAGGACAATAAAAAAAGGATTCATGAAGTCAGAATATGGTGAGTGAGGTTGCACTTAAATTTTTGAAAATCATAGCTGATAGGGAGGGAAGAATATAGACAGTTTCACGGGTGAGAAATGCGAGAAGAGAAAATATTATAATAAAACTTACAGATGCATCTAGTTATTTCAAAAGTAACACAATGAGACCTAATTGCCAATTTGGTACTTCGCTTAAATTCCTGCGGTCGAGGTAATAAGGAGGAAAACTCATCGGAACAAATGCCATGAAAATATAAAAATGACACAGGGAAGTCACGTTACAGCGGTGGGAAAGTTACTGAAACCGATATGGCAGATTAGGACCGATAACATTGCAAACCTTTCTTTGGATTATTTACACATGCCATGTGGAACTAGAACAGTCTACCCCATTGAGTGAAATAAAGGGTTCAGTTCGACATTCTCACCACCTGAAGAATGTCGGAGCGTACAACGGCCGAAACGTTGTAATAAATATGGCGACAAAGATGAGGACAATAGTCCGAATAATATAAATAATGTACATAATACCTCATCTCAGAAATATAGACAGACTCTTTCTTTGGATGTTGTCAAGAATGTCGAGATAGATAGAAGGAACACTAGACCAAATATGACAGCAATATTCAAGGCATGGTCGAATAGTAGATTTATAACTTTTATAATTTATAACCATGTAAGATGGTTCGTACAATGCAGCGAACCGAATTTCCTAGTATCTAGCCTAGCAATTGATTCAATATAATCACTCCACTTTATGTCAGTGGAAAACATGAAACCAAGAATGAATTGCTCTCCTGAAGGTTAGCATCAGCAATGCTGATGGAAGATAAAAGGCGTTATTAGGGCGTTAAAATTTAAGATGTTTCTTAAGGCGTTAAAATTTAAAGTGGTTATTAAAGCATTAAAATTTACAAGCCATTTTTGCCTCAGGTGATAACTGATTGAAGGCATCTTCATGAACACTTGCCAATTTTTCATCCCTGTTTTTTAAAACTTTGAAATTAATGTCTACCGGCCTATAGTTTGAAAAACTTAAAAACAAAAAAATCAATCTCTATGCCAGTAGACATCAATTTCACTGTTTAAAAAAGGAGAGCCTTTTACTCAGTTTACCCACTGCATATAACGTTAATAATAATAATAATAATAATAATAACACGGTTTTTAATCAATTTACCCCAAGTAATGCGATAATGCCACTAAGATGCAATGAGCTACTGGGAGGGAAAGAGGACTCGGAAATCCTAAACAGGAAACAAGAGATAAACCTACTTCTATTCAAAAGACATTGAAGGAGTGTGAACCGAATGTAAGGTGAACCTAATAATAATAATGATATATCTATATATTATTTAGAGTGTGTTATATTTACGAGAGAAGAGTGCTCAGTATCGGAGCGTTTATGTGGTGTCTGATGGTCGCTAAGGTGCGATGCTGCCAGTCGCCATGCAGTTTTGATTTCTATATCTGCACTGTTTATTTATATCAGGATTGCCAAAATTATTTCCGCGGTTCAGTAAAAAGTGTTTTTTCTGGTATAATTCAATTTCAACATGGAAAATGAAAAGAAAGAAAAAGAAGATATATTTTGATAAATTACCTCCGAATATGCTGCTTTCAAAGAAATTTTAGAAGATTATCAAGATATCTTAAATAATGAAAGGCAAAAACTTTTACAATGGGCAAAATTATTAGCACAATGAAAATTTCCTCATAATAAAACTCGAGCATCCATGTATATATGAAAAGCTCATTAATATGGAGCTTCTAGAAGATTCGATTTTAGAAGAATTTATGCATAACTCTGTTGATTTAGAAGAGCAAAAGTTTACCGGAAATTCAAATTTGTCAGTCATGATTGTAACTATGTTACAGTTCAGTTCTTAAAAATAAAGTTGTGAAGTGTCTTAAAAATGATGAAGGGTATGGCAACATTGCCAGTATGTATTATATTCTTAGATCACCTGTACGTTGCATTATGAAGAAGGGATTAGGAACTGATTCTGTTGTGAATGAGCGTAGAAAAAGCCGTAAACGATTTGTTTTCAGGAGGAGGAGAATACAAGTGAATGAAGATAGCACAGAATAACGCTAGAGTGGAGACGAAAAAACTAAGGAATCAGGAAAAAAAATTTCTCATCGAAATCTAACTCCAGTAGAATCATTGAAAGAAGAGATTTGAAAACATGTTCAAGAAAGATCTCTTTTTCAGCTTCGGCAGTTGAAGGCACGTTAGATGTTTGCCAAAAATCATATTGAGAAGAATGATAGATTTCAAAAGAATTCAGAATGTTATGATAGTATGATGAAAGAAAAATTATTATTTGGTCATAACGTGTCGCATTGAAGGAAACTGGTAAAACTGCCAAAGAATGATGCATAAAAGTTTGATGTTTTGGGGAAGTATTGAAGCAAAAGGTAATGGACTTTTATTTAAAGTATCATGAGAAAGAAGCGAAACATTGTTGAGCCACAACATTAAGGAATCTGAAAGGGAAGTGAATCTGGGATGACACTGGAACATCATGCAGAAAATGGATTCTAGGGAAAAATGTCGGAGACAAATAGGGTTGATATTTTATCATAGCCAGCACAAAACTCATACTTTAATCCGATAGAAAATTTAAGGTAAATGTTAAGGTAAAGGAATTCTTAGAATTTCTGACAAGTAGAGCCTATTTGCCAAGAGGAGTGGAAGAAAATAAGTGAAAATAAGTGTAAGAACTTGGTGAAAAATTACAAGAAAAATTAGTGGACGTTATGGCCTTAAAAGGAAACGCTATTTGCTATTAATTAAATGTAGCAATAATTTTGGCTAGACTAAAGATTTTGTGACTTTTGTTATTTGGGTTTAATTTAAATAATTTTCGAAGAGGTTTCGTTGAGTGTCGAGTACATTTATGAAAATATTTTTTCTTTTTAATTATCATATAATTATACACCCAAAGCTGCTTTTTATTGTAACGTGCCAATAATTTAAACGGTCACAGTATTGACCTACAAACTCACACACATTGAGGAAAATTATAATGTCAAGAGCATGAAAGACAATATCGATTTGCTCTGGGTACAGTTATGCGTATGCTACTGAGTAGTTTGATTGGTTGGTATATTTTTTTACAGTAAGATTCCCCCTGTACAAGTCCCGATAAGGGGTAGTTTATATGGATAGGAGGGGAAGATATCGGTGGACACTAGACTTGAACAGGTTAAGATTGTAGTGATCGGTAATGCATCCTCTTGAGAGTCTGTGCCATAGGGCAATGGTTCGCGGAAACTTACTTCTGACGGATCTAATACTGAGGGAATATGGGTGATGTGCTACTATGTAAGTGGCATGGTGGGTCCTAGCGGTGAAGCTCAGGCTTTGTGGAACCAAGAGATGCAGTTCGTCCGAGCACTTTCCATGGTAGTAGCGATAGATCAATGAGAGACTTGCCACATTCCATCTGTAAGAGAGAGGTTGGATTTTGAAAAATAATTCTTCTCCCACAGCGACTCGGCGACTCTTTTGAATTCTGTCAAGAATGAAAAGTGAGTTCTGAATAACTCCTGTCCAAATATGGCAACAGTACTCTATTCTTGGCCTGATCTGGCTCTTATAAAGGTAAAGGATAGCATGAGGAGTCAGGTACTTACTAGGGCGATACAAGGAAGTTAGTGTTAGGTAGGAAAACGTCAACACTTTTAGAGGTGTACACGTATATCTTCGTATCATCGGCATAGAAGTTTACAAATGTTTGGAGTATATTCTTCGCTAGATCATTTATGTAAATCAAAAAGAGGCTTGGGAGATGCCTGCGTTGACCGCCATGGCTTCGAGGCACTTGCCATTAATAACTACCCTCAGAGAATTACCTGTAAGGAAAGATTTTATAATAGAGAAAACCCTTCCAGTGATTACATAGAGAGCTAGTGTAGCAAACCTTTGTGCCACAACTTGTCGAAGGCCTTCGTGAGATCTACTGCTATGGCCCTTGCGGTGTTTGTATCGTCAAGGGCCTCACTAATTCTGTGTGTAATAGTAGTTAGGACGTCAGCAGTGGATCGGTCTGATCGAAACCCATACTGCTCGTCGCACAAGAGGTTGTTTCTATCCGAGTATTCAACGATCTTCTATCGGAATTATTTAGTATTAGAAATCAAGAGTTGGAATATGATTCAGAAGAAGGAAAAAAAAGGAAGCCGCGATTTGAATAGAAAGTTTAATTAGTAGGGTGGGAAAATAAAATGTTTAAGATTTTGAGATTATTTTCTTGTAAAATCTGGCCTTTTTCAGGAATGTCATTATTTTGGATGTATTGACTTTGTCGAAGAGTTCTTTTAAGTTGTTTTTTCGTGTAATACTGTGTTCGGATTAGGTTTAGCATGCCACAATTCACCAAGATGTGTTTCATTGTTTATTGATTTCACATATAGTACACATTTTGATGATACTTCATTTTTCAGTAAGACATTATGTGCCATTTAAGTATGACCTATGACCTGTGCGGATGGTTTAGTTATACACGTCTTACTAATTAACCCATAGCTGGGGAGAAGAAGACATCTACTCATATCTTTCTCAAGAGTATTTGTGCATAAGTGAATAGAACGAACCCGACGGGAATTCGAACTCGGCTCTCCGATTAAAAATTCCGGGCCATTATCTGTTATACCACCTTCACATCCAAGCTTACAGCATCTAGTATTCCAAAGCGGTCACCCATCTGGATACTGACCAGGCTTGACGTTGCTTAACATCGATGATCATACGAGAACATGTTGTTTCAGCGTGATATGACCGTAAACTGGTGTCAAGCAGTGGAAGTTACATTCTTATTATAATGGTTAGAACCAAGCGTCTTACTATAAATATAGGTCCATATACACTAAACTGTGTTCTGGCTGCAGTACTGGCTCCATTGCCCTTACAATGCGCCAATCTTGACAAGTGCCTGTAGTAAGTGGTTCTCCACAACTTGGTCTACGGGTGTAGGTATGTTGATTAGACCACTTGTACCAGCATCAAAACACCAGCGATGTGTCATATACAATATGCGCAGCAATTCGTCGAAATAACCATCTGGCCTCTGGAAGGCCCACAACTTGACTCGTCTCAATTGTCTCTATCTGAATTGCGTGTGCTTGCAGCTGCTTCCACTGAATTCTTATCGCAGCTTACATCGTAGTCTGAAGTTCAGGCACTGACCGTACACTGGTATAATTGTTCCAAGAATTAAAAAAATTACCAATACCACTACTACCAAGTAATATTAAAACATTACATGATGCCGGATACCAAGCCACATTGGTAGAAGTTCAGAAATTCAGAGTCAAAGATACAACTAACCATTAAATCAGTTAGTCAGTTATTCGCCATGCGTGATACACGCTTAGGCGATCATGTATCTTTCGATACATAACTGACGAGACAGATTTTTTGCCCCGCAGTAGGTTGCCATTTCTTTCAGCGGTAGACCAGTTGCCATCCAAGGCTATAGAATCCGGTCTGCCCATAGCTGGGAGGAGAAGAAGAGGTTTCATACCTTTTCCAAGTAAGTGAATGTAATGGATTCCCCTGGAATTCCTCAATCCGAGCCGCTATCCATTACTCCAATGTAGTGATTTCACAGTGGAGGCTTGTATTTGTACTAAGTCGGTCATAAAATAGGTTCGACGTACAAAACTATAGGAACTTGATATAATAGGTAATGACGCAGTAATCTAGTTGGAGTGGCTGATACTTTAATATCTGACTAACGGTCGTCCGACATCGACTGACTGACCAACTCGATATTTAGTCACCCCCCCTCCCCACGAGGGCATCATGTGGCACAAAGCCGGTTTAACGTGGGATCTCCGAGCCCGTGGGCTCGGCCAAAAATATGCCCATTGAACCCGTATAAACGGGTTCAGGGTCGGTTTACCTCCCTGAAAGAGAATCCGCCCTTCGGCGTAGCCTCGTTCGGGTTCCTCCCCGCTCGAAGGCAGAGAGTTCAACCGATCAGCCAATCGACTGACTGACTAACTCGCTGAGCGACTGCTACTCCTACTTATTATAGGTGGAAGAGTCTATTAACTATAGAATAGGTGTGTTCCATTATAACATAAACATTAACTACTCAAACCTTATACTGACTTCAAACCTGTTATAAATAAATAAATTCATCACAAATAAATGGCATGAGCGTTGGACCTACGCTTACGGCCATATCACGTTGAAACATCGGTTCCCGTACGATCACCGATCCCTTTGAAGAAAAGGATGAACTCTTGTTATTTGACGGAATTGATGAATTCTTGTAATGATTTCATCGAATAATATAAACCTTCATTCTTCCCATAAAATAATAGAGAACTTCCTGCTACAAGTCATATTCCAGTTATAATAAATACGTGCATATCATTTTGAAAACCCTGGAAAATACATTCTTTCCTTTTCTACTCTTTCCGGTTCATAAGTAGCTTAGTTTTGTTCAATGCAAAGCTAACTGAAGTTACTGCTGCGCCAAATATACAAGTGGCTTGATAATACTTGAGTTGATAATATTCTTTTGAACGATTACCAATTTACAGGACTTGGTATCTTATACTGACCTTTTGCACTGTCGGGAAATAAATAATTATCTCAGCGATATAGAAAACCTCAAATAATATTTAATAAACTTAATATTAGGGCAGCAAAATGCCTAATAGTGGAGTGAGCAATAAACGTGTTGTGTCAGTCGAACCAGAGGTGTAGGCTTACTTGCATGTTTTTTTAATTGATCACTGGCATTGTCGGGAAATATAAAAAATAGACTCCTTAACAGTGTTGTTTACAGTTATCGGGCGTTCGATATTGCAAATTCAAGCTTGACCATTTCTACTCCATGTTAACCACTGTTAATAAATGAAGAAAGAAAGTGAAAGAAAAATAAATTCGAGAGAATAAATAAGAAATGAAGAAAATTGCTGTCCTCGTAATATCCGGAAACAACATAAAAACAAGGCCATAATAGAAAGTAGAACTCTCATTTGTCGTGAGGAAGATAAAATCGACTGCGTCGACACTTCAATTGCCAATAATTACTAACGCTTGCCTGAGACACTCGAATCACATTCAACAAATACAAAAGAGAAAATTAGGAAAAATAAAAGAACAAATGAGCAAAGGAAAGAATTGTACACAACGTTATAAGCGTTTCTGCTTTCTTCGGTGTAAAGCGATCAAAATGAAGTTGTCGAATTAAAAAAGCAAAAAAAAAGAAAGGGGTTTTCTTATTAGCGATGATCATGGAACCGAAATTAGACAAGCAATAAATAATGACAGTTAAATAAGAAACAAAAATTTGCTAATTTAGTATCCCAGAATTGCTTCGAAGTGCCATTTAGTATTTGTATTTCTTCTGAATTCTAAAAGAGAATTCTTCGTGAAAAATCCTAACCAGTTTCTACTTCTCGTTCAACGTTAAATTTCTCTGACAGATAGGCATGCTGAAGATGCTTACTTCGCGAGTCCCGTAGACAAGAATAGAGGCCAGAAATAAGGTAAATGTAGAATTAATAAAATAGCCACAAAATTGAAAGAATATGTATTTGTGCAGTTAATTAATGGAACTAAACATATAATGTAATTGCTAAATATTTGCAAATAACGTTTCATAAGGTATATTTAAAATGGGTTACCGCTTAAAAATTTCTTCTGATTTTAAGGAAATGGAATTCTTTGTCTCGTTCCCCATATAAGCATACACTGATGAATTTAACGGAAATTAAAATCGGTATGTTAGGTTTATTTCCGTGGCCAAAAATAGACGTTGTGTAGTCTCCCGCGAAGCTAATCAGAATCTCTCGCGGAGCGTATAGAATGCTGCAGTAAAGCTCTTCATCTTTTTTTCTCTTTTCGGACATTGGTTACGTGGTTCGGCTCTTTTATCGTCGGTCCGTCGTTGTCGATAGACTCAAGCGTTAACTTTTCCCAATATGTAGCTATGGAAACCAGGTTATAATTTCATCTGCCCCCCCCAAAAAAAAAAACTCACACAAATGTAAATTTCAAATACGAACATTTTTTATACCAATATACACGTGTACATTTCTTCCATATTATTGGTTCTTAAAAGTTGTTTTCTATGTATGTCACACTAAATGGTTCACTTTTATTTACTACGTGTATCCAATTTCACATGATTCACCTTTCTCTCTCTCTCTCTCTTTCTCTCCAAATCTGCTTTGTACGGCTACTGGGATTGCAGAAAGCGGCTGACTCTTTACTCTTTATTCCCATGCCGTCTGAACATGTGTCATTGCTTGAATGTTGTTAAGAGATTTGTTTTTAAAAGCTTTAGCTAAGAAAAGTATAAAATCAGCAAACACTCACACACAGGGCCAGAGCATACTACCCCCGAACCCCCACCTGGAGGAGCAAGCCTGATTGGGGCCCTGACAGAGCTTTGTGACCGTAGCTATCTTATCAACATTTTCTTTTTTCTACCTATATTTATATGCATTACAAATGAAACTTAGCACGACTTATTATTTTTTGCGGATGTTGACGTCATTCTGTGGGTCTTTCTTTTTGTCTAAGTCCGTTTATTTGTTTTGCTCATGCTAAGACTAGAAAGAACATTATATAGCATTCACTATTTTTCATCCATAATGTTGAATGTGTTGAAATTATTCAATTTTTTATTTTTTTTTTTGCATTTATCTCTCATGAAATGTCTCTAAGTTGTATCTAGATACATTGTACTTGTCTATATTTCTGAGATGAGGTATTATGTACACTATTTACATTGCTGGGACTATCATCCTCATCTTTGTCGCCATATTTATCACAACATTTCGGCCGTTGTACGATCCGGTCTTCTTCAGTTGGTTGGAATGTCGAACTGCACCTTTTATTTCGCTCGCTGGAGTAGACTGTTCTAGATTCATGTGCCATGTCTAAAGGAAAAGCAATAATAACAACGAAAATTGCAATATGAGCTCTGGTAAAAAAACATGTAATGATAACAGCAAAAATTGCAATATGAGCACTGGTAAAAAAATGATTGCTGAAGACATAAGGTTTATAATTCCCAGAAATTCATATACACATTTCCTCAAGGGCACATGGCACAGTGGATAAAGGCGTTAGTTAGATCCAGTGACAAGACCCAAAGAATGTGAGTTCAATACCTGGTTAAGGTGGTGGAGAACTTGGAGAGGGGAATTAACAGAAGATCTCTGATAACTGACATCCATTAGACATGGAACTAGAACGTTGTGATAAATATGGCAACAAAGATGAGGATGATAGTACCAGCAATGTAAATAGTATACATTTTATTTATTTTTCAATTTTTATAGCTGAATTGTTCGCCTATATTGCATATGATCCATTATTGTACATAATTAGGTTACAATAAAAATTTGTTTTTTATATGAATACTACCTTATAAAAATTGAGATGTTGTAGAGTGGGGGTCCCGTATCATAGATTCAGTGGGGGCATGAGTCACTTGCACCGGTCCTACAAATACATCACATCACAAACAACATGACATCGACTTCGACATTATTTACAGACTAATCGCACAATTTGTAGACACTCCTTACATGTTACGGTGATTTTATCAGGTGTTGATATTACAGGCATGGGTAAAGCAGGAAACGGTTGTGTAGTGAAGGACGTGTCTTTAATGGATTCTCCTTAGACGTAGGGATTAATGGTTGTGCTGTCACAAAGCCTGTAATAATTTCTTGGCAGCATTAACGTCATTTTTCCGATGCAACGGAAGATGTCCCACGCACGCAAGTTGGAAACTATCAGCGAAGACAAAA